TACACGTATAGGTGTTGAGTTCCACTCCAATCTACCCCTATATCTATAAGTCCGCTATCATGTACACCCTCACAAATGTCAATCCTGTTTTTTATGATAAATCCCAACAAGATGTTATCCAGTTTTTCTCCGTCCATGGCCATAATCGCGCTTTTTTGTTGTTGTCCGAATGTACCTGGCCAGATGCATGCACCCACATACTAAAAAGCAAACAATTGTCATCATACACATTGATTTAAATTAGTTGTAGCTTACCATTAGTTCTAGTCACCATCTTGTTACCATTGTGGGGTTAGATATATGCTCGGGGTCACTGGATTTCCAGTTCAGTAGGCGTATGTGGCGTCCAGTTGGAGGGCCGATCACGTGACTGTCCCTGTTTTCAGTGCACGTAGCAAATCCACGGGATGACTGAAACTTTGCCTCATCAGCAGGAAAGCCCTCTAGCAGTTGTGCTGTTGTGCTGTTGCTTCTATGCTATCGATAAAGAGTCATTGCTCGAAACGTCTAGCTATTTTTAATAGTTATTTAGGACTACGATTACCAAATATTATCTTCAATATATCGTGCTGTTGTATGGTTCACCATTGTGTTGGAGTAAGCTATTTGGCTTTACAGGTTGCCGGCATTGCTATTATGGATCATGATTGTATCCTTAATTTAAGATAAAACTGCGCATTTATACAACTGGTATAATAATTTATTTCACAAAAAATGAAATTGTTTTTACAGCCATGTAAAAAGAGATAGGTAGAACTAATCCGCATTCTACTCTCTATAAATATAAAAGAAATGCTTGTCATTTTTCCCTGCTTTTTTCATTTTTACCATCATAACATTTATGATTACGTCATATGTTTTATCCCTCACATAGGCAGTCTGAAGACCTGTTAAGTTCGTGTAAAGATGTCGTATTCGAGGAGTCCACTGATTGGATAGATTCGCCAGTATCGTGTACCTTGCAGCAGAAGAAAACGCACACCAAGTATTTCCCGGAAACCGACGAAAATAAAACATACATAACCGACTTCCTTTTTCAAGTCAAAGATGTATATGTTAGAAAAGTGAACCCACAAGAACTTGAGGACGTTGTATTGTCGTGTAGTTCTCCGGTAGTTCAAATGAGAGCAAGAAAGTTCAATTTCATTTATGAAACGTACATCGCTAAAGAAATTCTTTGCTCAGCTAAGGTGATAGAAAGCGGGAACGAAACGAACAGATCTGACACCATTACAAATTCTCCGATTGCTTTTCGGTATGCTGAAGTTCAATTAGATAATATGAATCGGGTGAAATCAGTTAACATGGGCACTAAAAATGCAAATAGTGAGTGTGAACAACAATACATAGTCATTCCAACCCAATATTTGTTACAAAACACGTGACGTAATAAAATATGAAAGAAAAATACCACATGTTCACTTATCAAATCGCTACCACAGTGATCTACTATGATATCCGCTATCATGGCGCACACATACGAATATATATATATTTGAGTATTATTTTATTATTTGGTAGATATGCCGTTGACCAAATTCTAATTTGCTTATTTTTTGTGTGAACTAAACTTTGTTGTTTGGAACGTTGGAGGGCTTAAATCAAAATGGGGAGATAAAAACTTTACTTCTTATATCAAGGCGTATGATATAATCGGGCTGGCATCATCTTCGCAAGCCAAGGACCATTTATTCGGCCGAAGGCTGGTTATGAATGGCCGGCTTTAGCGAAACTGTGCGATTCGGACGATGCCGTGATATGGGAACTACATGACCGTACGTCAGTTAGAGCGTATGTAAGTTAATGCGGATGCTTGCGGTTAGGTTGTTGTTGTCGTTGGTAGTGGTGGGATGGTGGTGGTAGGGGCATTGTCTAAATCGCAATATTTCTCTTGAATTCTTGACTGATTGCGCGTATCTCTGATTTGCTGAATTGTTAGTAAAAATCCTCTGTTTATATACAATATATATAAAAAAAAATAACTATGAATAATAAAGCGTGCTTGTAAAAAAAAAATTACGACAAATTAATCGTGAAATCATTGGAAGGAAGTCAGTGTACTGCTATGATGATGTGTCTGAACAGGTGAAATGCTTGTCAGTTACGAATCCAAACTCCAGTCGACGTACCGGTGTTCTTCCTGACTAGGGATCCGGCCAAGGCTCCGAATATCAAGTTTGTGAGCAAAATTCTAATTTGCTTAACTTTTTGTGTAGACTAAACTTTGTTGTTTGGAACGTTAGAGGGCTTAAATCAAAATGGGGAGATAAGAACTTTACTTCTTATATCAAGGCGTATGATATAGTCGGGCTGGTAGAAACGTGGGCTACAAAAAGGCAAACGTTTTCCCTTGAGGGGTACCAAAGTTATTCGAAAATTCGTGCGCCTAGTAATACTCGGGGCAGACCGTCAGGGGGTTTACTTATTTTAATTAAACATATCCTTTGCAAGTATATCACATATTTGGAATCTGATAATGACAATATATAGCTAAAGTTATTCTTTCCAGTTACCACCCCATTAATACTTGCTTTACTTTATATTACACCAAAAGGATCCTCTAGATATTCTGCCGATGATATCTTTGATACTATTGAGGGCAACATTTCTGCATTCCATAGTAAATATGACCAATGCAAAATTGTATTATATGAGGATTGTAACGCCCGAACAGGTTTACTCGAAGACAACATTGTTTGTGACAGTGTTGATTACTCACCAATAGATGACAACATTTATGGCACAGTTCAAAGATTACGTAATAATTGTGACACAGAAGTCAATGAATATGGTGAAAAACTGGTAGATTTGTGCAAGACTGTATCACTGAACATTGTAAATGGTAGGACACCGGGTGACTGTGACTGTCTGTGGCGAATTTACTTTTATGTCCGCAATAGGGAAAAGTGTGTCGAAAGACATTTTTGATAGTATTTTAAATTTTAAAATCGGTAACAGACTAGAATCTGACCACTTCCCTTTACAATTTACGCTAGAAACGAATTTTATGATTGGTAGTGATTCAGAAAATAGTACACATCAGTCCCAGTCGTCTCAACCGTTTACAAAGTTCTTCTTTGATCACAGTGTGTTTACTAGTTTATTTAATGAAAATATGCTGTAAGATGCAGTTTACGATTTTTTGGATAGTTTATTGAAAGGTGTTGATAGTGATATTTTGGTACAAAAAACTAATGAACTGTTTTATGAAGTTGCGAAGCCTAAATTTCCATTTCATGATAATGCATTTAAGGAAAATGACTGGTTTGATAAAGAGTGCCTTTTATTAAGAAAAAATGTAAATTGTCTTTTGAACACGTATAGAAAATTTAAGATTTTAAGAAATTTGGAAAATTATAAAAAAAGAAAAACTCGATATCGCAATCTTTTACGTGACAAGAAAGCTAATTTTAAAGCTAAACTTCTACAAGAAATTGGACAAGCTTTAAAGGAAAACGACTCCAGAAAGTTTTGGTCCTTTTTTAAAAATAAGAGAGACCCTCAATTTAAAGGAATCAAAAACCAAGATTGGTTTGATTATTTTAAAACATTGTTTAACCCTGGTGAATTATTAGAACGTGGCCAATTTGAGGATTTCTGGAATGAAATTCATGATTATGTAGGCAATCTATTACAAGACAGGGGCACTTGGGTATTCATAATGAGGATATTATTATAGAGGTATTGGACCAGCCAATCACAGAAGATGAAGTTATTGCTAGTATTAATTGCCTGAAAAACAAAAAAATCCCCTGGTATTGATGGAATACCGCCAGAATTTTATAAGTTATGTGGCCATTTATTTATTTCCTTGCTATGTCGACTTTTCAATGTAATTTTTAGCACAAGTATATTTCCTGTGTTCTGGTCTGATGGGATTATTTTCCCTATTTTCAAAAAGGGTAAAACAGATTACAGGGGCACACACCAGCTAAACTCTTCCGATTGGCTAAAGCTCTACTCGTCATTGCCCTCCTACTATGACCAGTGCGCAAACTCATCATCTGACCAATCATGCATCTCGTAGCGGAAGATTTTGAGTACAGAGGTAGGAAGAAAGTTGAACAATCGCGGATATTGCACCTGTTCGCTCGGATTTGAGCGAGATTTTCACACTTTTGAATGAATTCATCGAAATTCAGTAGGTATTTTCGAATTTCAAGAATATCACCGTTGCATCTGTGGGTTGAGATCGCATTTTCGCTTATTTTTGGAGTCAAAAACGCCAGGTTAAAAAAGTGACCCGCTGGAAAATATGGAGTTCTGTTTTCTAACTTGTCTATTTTTATGTGGAGTGACTTGTTATGGGTGACTGTGCCCGGACGATTATTGACATGCGATTACAAGATTGTAATTCTCCCAGGAAATGTCACGTGGTATCACTCTTGATATTATGCAAGCGCCATAGACACCCTTCGCTATAGCTCGTATTTCGCCACGATTGACTATTTTACACAGATATCTTGAAGTCGCGCACATGCCGGAAACAACAGGCATACCGGTGGGGCATATTGGACGCCATACTAAGACCACGTGTTTGCTGCACCTGGGTAATCTCTCTCTTCTGGGGGACAGTGACATAAAAGTGAAACTCGTAATGATTGAAGTTCGATTCATACAGGTTTAATCAGGTAACTTAATATTACTGAACTTTGATGTGATTACAAATTACTATTCAATTGAGACCAACACTGCATGCTCTCTTTAAATTGCAGTGAACGGGTTGTCAGCCTCGACCATGCGAGATGACTTATTTTTTGGCTTTCCAGCTTTATGGGACGAAACCCTTACGTTATTGCTCTGTTTATTATGTTTCCACCCGCCGTTTTCGTAAACCGTTACTCAGATTGCCTTAAACTTTAGCGTGGTGGTACATGAGTTATAGTGCATATCCAAAATCAGTCATATAGGTCACATGATCTGGCAGCCATCTTTAAATGAAATTCTTTTGCATCTCATTTGCATAATTTTCTGTACATTTACAATTAAACCAAGCCGTCTAGACTTTAAATCAAGATGACAGGTCAGTGACAGGCATTTTGTTATTACTTTTACTAGTTTTTTTCACTAGCATGATGATTTGGTGGATTTTAATAAATAATGAATACCACTGCCATCAATGGGATCTGAAATTACCAGACATTTTTAATGAAACGTTTTTTATTCTTCCAGTTATATTTTTTGTTTGACCTGTTACCTATTCCTAACACTTGTTGTTGTTTTTGGAGGGGGTAATGTTTGAAGCTGTTGCAACTGTACTTGGAGTGGGCGGTCACCCTATATTAAAACCTTGCACCATGTGCAATCTTGCTAAAAAAATAATAGGCGAACCATACCCTCTGCGGACGCAATGTAAATTTAGTACCCCCTAGAGCAGACATATTAAAGAAAAACACCCCCTATTGCAGACATATATTGAGAACATCCTACCTCCTATTGCGAGCATTCTCTGAGGAGTGTGATCAACTCAAACAAGCTACTTATGGTTGCTGTGTATGCAACTCCTGTTGGTGTCATTCATTGTTTTATGGGTCCGCCAATTCGGGGCCTAAGGCGGTGTATGGGAGTGGTTGTTGCAAGAGGGAGACTATAGCGGGTGCAGCAAACCTTTCAGTTTATTCCTGGGGGGCTATTGCAGACATTAGCATTTTAAAGGGGGCATATTTACCTCCCGCACGGGCCCGCTTTAGAAGGTGAAAACGCCGCCCCTTCCTGCTAAATATGAAAGCACATGGGGTAGTAACTGCATATAGGATGACCCCGCCTCTGGGGAGAGGATCTGGCTATGATCTGCATGGATTTGGATGTTGACAGAAGCCTTTTCTATGGAATTCAGAAGAGTAACCTTTTTGTATTTTATGTACCTGGGGTATCTGGTTAAGCGTTGAAACCACAAACAAGTTCATACCTCTTTTTGATCAGCTGGTCTCTGGCATCACCCATCAATTCTTGTGGGCAATCGTTCCAACTAAATTCAAACCTAAATGATGTCTTAATTTGATATCAAAATTCTTCCAAACACTAGACTCAAAATATTTCATATATTTCTTTTCCAATACTTGCCTATACAAGCCCTGGCCTCCATCTGTGGGAAACCTTCAGCTTCGAAAAAATATCTTGAAAATCCTACAACCCACATTTCAAATAAAGAAGTAGGGACACCTTTGATCGCATGGTTAGCGTGACTGTTTGACTGCTGTATACTCTTCATACTGGATTGCCTACTCAAGATAGGAAATTGTGTATATAAAAAACAATCCCACAAAAAGGCGGTAATGTTTAACTCAGTTTAATAAAACTCAGGTAAAATATTAGAGTTGATGCCAACAATTATTACAACAAAAACATTTCTGTCCACAATTTCATATGAACATTGTTATCAATAACAGTTAGTCAAAATAAATTTAGATAGTAGTATGTTCTATTGTTGGAAATCATGTTAATACATGTTTCAATCTCATTAATTTCCGTTATAAAAATGAATTGTGAATCTTGGATTTAAATAGAAAGTGAAATTTATGCATGATTAACATCAGTAAAATGTAAATGAGCTTCGGAAATTAAAATCAGGACCACCCGTTATTAATAACATCGCTATTCCCTGCTCTTTATTATTGTATAAGATTCATAGACCTCAGCCTTGTGTGTGTACTTACTATCCGAGAAAAAATCTTATTAAGATATAAAATATTTATATTGCTGAGGGCATAATTCCTACATTTTATGCATTTTTTAAAAATTATGCTAATTTATTCATGACGTGACAGTTTCTGTGCTCATGAATATTCATTGATTTGTGGGTAAATACATTCTAAAAGGGGCGATATATTATTTAGGGGGCAAGAGTTAGAAAAAGGAAATTAGCAATCTTTAGGGGTCAATACAAAAGAAGGGACCCATTTGGAGAACAGCAATGATCCTCGTGTCTGTTGGTGTAACAAATAATAATAACTACAAAAATAGTAAATATTATGTTTTCTCGACGTTCTTTGTTTACTTGTTATGATTTACGTTTTTTACGGTATCTAGTAGGATCATCGAACCCTTGGAGTTTGTATTAGGCGGTTTTTCATTTCCCATGTTTGCTACGCCGTAATATGCGATCACTTCCCCGTTTTATTTTGATTTTGTAAGTGTTCAATGATGTCTTTCTCGCCCGTCACGCCATGACCTAGTTTCAACCATACGGCGTGACCCCACTGACGCTGCGATCGTTAAGTTAGGCTATGAACTGTTAACTTAGGATTTATTACTGTCAATATCATTATATTGTCACGTGATTTGTTGCACCTTATTTGTAATGTCTTAAGTATCTTTATTGTAATTTGTATATACCAATTCGTATATACCGAGCACATAACCCCGATTGAAGGTCATGTATTTTGTGGCGTCACCAATTCGTGTGTAGGTACGGCCGCTGGAATTTGGACTCCTTCGGATTAAGCTACTTGACATTTTGTTACTGGTAAGTTACGTACTTTCAAACTGTAGTATGCCACAAACAGCCTGCAACGTTGGCATAAACGATTGTGGAAAACTGGGTCAATAAAATGCAGTGCCGTTTTTTGGGGGTTCGGCTAACAACCTAAACACACTCTAAACGTAGCGGCGGCACAGGGTGGTGATGTTGACAGAGGGGCGGTCGCCCTCCAGCAAAAATGTTGGGGGGGTCGTCCCTCCAACAAAAATGTTGGGGGGTCGTCGCCCCTCCAAAATCAAGCTGAAACCCGTTGTGCCAGCAATATTTTCCTCTCAAAATGCAGGAAATAGCGTTTCATGGGGGAGAAGGCCATGACCCCCCCTAGTAGGGTCCCGCCTTCGTTTGGTGAGCAGATCACGCTCCTCCTTGTAAAAGTTCGTGCCGCCGCCTCTGTTTTTAACATAAAATACGCGTTTACCCGGGTTGATCCCCACATCTATATTCCTCCAATATTTATGACGAAACAAATCACATATACAGCTTTAGCAAAGGCATGATTTGCTGAACGCAATCCAAAATCTACCCAATGCTGTTAACCATCCACAATGGTATTTCAATGACACAAAAACAAAGCATACATAATAGCATACATCACTTGGTGTTCAGTGTACACATTCACTATGTGTTAAAGTGTGACAAAATTCCCATTGTTCCATAATGAAATCATGGATGTTATTGTTATTATTATTATTATCATTATTGTATAATAATATGTACAATGAATAAATTAGAAACTTACAGAGAATTCAAAACTACAATTACACCCGAGAATTATATATTTCCAGTTAATATATTTAAACATAGAAGCTATTTATCAAGATTCCGTTGCTCACCGAGGAAAAACGGAATGGGATCAACCGGTTTGTACTCTCTGTGACTTGAACCAAATTGAAAATGAATATTGAACATTTTCTTTTAGTCTGTAAATTTTTTACAAATCTCAGAGACAAGTACTTACCGTATTTCTTTTATAACCCACCTACATTTAAATCAGAAGATAAAAATATTTTGATGCGGCTTGCAGCTTTTGTATTTCAAGCCCTAAAGTTAAGGAGCGAAATTACAGAATTGTTGAATTGATGATTGTAAATGTATATGTCTATTTATTTTGTTTTCAAATCAGCAACCTGTACAACTTTTTTGGAGCTATGGCCTTGAATAAGTGAATAAAGACTCACTAATAATTATTATTATTAGCAGCCAACTGTTGCTGTGGTCGGCCATAATCATAAACCAATTTTGTTGTTAACATGGAGTCAAGGCAAGTGGTTGAGCTGCAGTCTGATGAGTTGGTGTTTTTTGTTAATGGGAAAAAGTAAATATTACATACCGTAGGAACATCAACTAATATATGATGACAACAAGACATCATGGTCTCTGCTTATTTCAGACACTTATTTGTAATGCGAAATGTTTTGCTGCCCAGTAACGATAACATTAGTTAGTTAAGAACCGTATAAGGAAGCACAACATGTAATTTCCAATACGTGCTTCATAGAAAAGTATGTCTAAGCACTTTTCCATATCTCGGCTAGCACATGCCAGACGTTTTAAACTGAAGTATTCTCTAAGGAACGATTTGGCATAGCCTTTAAAAAATTGCTGATATCATAGGCATCTATGAAAATATAGTAACTAATCATTATACAATTAATTACAGAAGTTGACAATGTAAACATTAACTATTTGCCTGTGACTTTTATATACGGCGGATACCACCATATGTTTGTCGGTTTATTATGTTGACTGAGTTCATTCATGTTTTAATAGTCGAGTTCCAAACTACCACTTCGATTTACAGTTTTGTAGTACCTTTATATCAATAATTATGTCGAAAGGTAATAATTATTTTCTCTGACAGGTTGTCGATAAATATGTGGACCCAGGAATGAATTTGTTGATTTATATTCGAAAAACACGTATCCTATTAATAAATACAAAACATACAACATGGTGCAGTGCACCGAAACACAACACGTCAGAACACAACAACGAGCGACATCAGAGCACAACACAAAACAAACACAAACGGGTGATTCTAGATTAATTTTGATTAATGTAACAACACTGTTACTGCTTGAATATCTGTCCAGGCATGGAATATTTATTAGTCCCCGTTCGGGCGCAGTCCGAAAAAGGGGACTTATGCTTATACCACTATGCGTCTGTGCGTTCTTGTGTCCGTCCGTCCGTACGTACGTCCGAACCTATATCTTAGACATGCCTGGACTGATTACATTCAAACCTCGTACATATACATCATTCAAGATGGCTGAATGGCGGGCATTTTTGTGCTGAAAAATCATCTACTGTAAATCAAGCATTTATGGATGGATTTTGAATGCAGTTGTAGTGCCATACAACTGACATGCTTTGACTGATTATGTTCAAATTTTATATATTCATTATAGATGTGCAGATATATTTTTTTGACTATCTGTTTCAAAATGACTAGTATAAAAAATAAAGCATTTCTGCATTGTCGAACCGGATCTTGGTCGTTTATGGATGGATTTTGTTCAAACTTAGTACATACATAGGACAATATGAGTCCCTGATGCACTTATTTTATTTTTCAAATCTGATTAAAAATGGCGGACTGGTGGCCATTTTGTTTTAATGAATGTGGTTCTATAGCCCAATCTCTGACATGATTTGACTTAAAATTATATATATTCATTCTATATCATGTTATAGATATACAGATGTATTCAAAATGAAGACTAGTGGCTATTTTGTTTTAATTAATGCTGTTCCACAGCAATATCTCTCAATATGGACAAGTACTCCTTTGACGATGAGATAAAAAAATCACCATAATCAAGCATCAGCTTCTGGATCCACATCTCTGAAATGTTTATGTTTGAACTAAATTACTATAAACAACATTATGTATCTTAAGTTAACTAACGGCGACTGTACCATGCATGCATGGCTTGTTATTTAAATTACAAACCACATTTTCCTTGACTATATATCGTAGTTGGACTGAGAGGCAGTAAATTAAGCTGTGGTGAAGGCGGATGTGGTGCATGCACCGTGATGTTATCCAAATACGACCACCAACAGAAGAAGATACTGTATCCTTAACAACAATTCGTCAGTCGAGTGTCCGTGGTCATTGTATTTTGCATGTTTCGCAGGCCAATCCTTATTAATTATAGACTAATTATTAAACAAATATTAAACAGTTCGTGTAAGCAGGAACATGTGTATTAGAACTAAATAAAACATACCATGTGCAGTTTCGTATATATACATTAACCTTTCAAATATTTGTTAATTATTTTTTCTCATATGTTCATTAAAGTCATTATGCCATTAATGCGTGTTATACCCCTGTCTGCTCTGTACATGGAATGGCTATCACTACTGTGGAAGGTGTTGGGTCAAGGACAAAGTTACACCCAGTGCAGGTAATGGCAGTTAATATTGATTACTAAAAACTGTGTTTATAAATACGTGTTTTGCATTTGTGCTTCTCTTTCACATATGTTAAAGCGGGTGAGTCTTCATCTACGCATGCGTCAGGTGGCGTGTCGATGTTTACCAACAAGCGTCTACCCATGAGCCTTCGCGTTCTTAGCGTGTATTGTTATCATCGCTTGAGACTAAATTCCCGCGCCGTGTGCGCAGGTGACGACCCTCCCGCTTTAACTATGACATAACTTTTATGTTGACGTAATCAATGCAAATATTCACAGGGAAACATTATTCGTATCAATTTAAACCGAAACATTTTCAGAATACTTAGAATTTTAGTTTTTAATTTAAAAAACATTACTTATTTGTTTCCTTCTGAGAATAAAATAAGATTACCACTAATATACAGTTTTCTAATGACAAGTTAATTGCATCACGGTTTCTAACTAAACACTCATTCACAGGAGCGCCTTGCAAAGTATCATGGATTGCAGTGTGGATTTTGTACACCAGGTATGGTGATGTCAATGTACTCCTTGTTACGTAACAATCAATTGCCAGCAGTGGCAGACATTGAAGACGCCTTGACTGGTAATTTATGCCGCTGCACTGGATACAGACCAATATTGCAAGCATTCGGCACATTTGCACAGGTATGCAATTGTTATTACATTTGCTGCCTGTCGTTTGCACGTTAAGTACTGTAATTGTTTATCACTCTGTACAACTGAGGGATGTGGTACTTTCGTCAGGGAATTAAGCCAAGATCTTGTCAAACACCTAACGCGGCGATATTTGAACGAAGGAAGCTCGCTTATTAAACATAAGTGTGTGGTGTGGCCGGTGGCTGAGTGGAAGCTACGCTGGTGCGTGCATCTTTTCGTTATGATGCCGTGGTCACTAGTTGGTACACATGTGGTACTTTATCACATTATTTACTTCATACTTTCAAGGTGTAAATACATACAAACTGTAGATTTAAGGAGATAATTTCTACTATTTTTATAATTTGCAGGACAACATATAAGCCACACTTTTTTGTTCTATTGACATGATATAAGGCTTCATTATTTACCTAAATTACCTAAAAGTGTTTCTGTTTTCTAATATTAAACAATCCCTTTCGAAACTTTTGATACTTTGGAAGGATGTCATTCACGTCATTTTTGAATTTTATTCCATTCCCAATAAAATTAGCTTAAATTGGAAAATAGAATGTAACGGTATTTCCCCGGGCCCACTAATTACATAAATTAGAACTGTATTTAAAAATATCATCATGCGCCTTGGTAAATAATAAATATTATATTATTATACATCTGTCACTGTAACGCCATAAGTTACAGCGTGCCGTAATTTTGCTGTATTATACGGGGTATTTTCATCCAACCATATTAGGAAATGTGAATTCCAAATATGGAATGATTACGTGCGTAAGCGTCCTCTAATAATAAAAACAGACATGGCTGCCACCAGAGTTTGACCGGACTCCACACAAAGAAGTTCGCTGATTCTGTTCTAAACATTTTGAATTTCCGCACTCCCATCATGGTGTATCGTTGAAAGAAAAAGATGTATAATAATAAGGTTATTACGAGAATACCTCAAAGTATGCACTCAGACAGTACGCCGCGCGTCGACCTCCGCTGCGCGTCGGTCGATACTCAAGCTGTACTGTGCATACTTTGAGGTATTCTCGTAATAACCTTATATTATATCAGGGACACAAATCTTTATAGACCGCTCAGTTGCAGTTAATAGCTGGATGGGACAATTTTCGAAAACCTCAATAATGAGTTGATGTCTCCCGCAAGTGTGCCGCCTGCAAGTGGACGCAACCAGATTTGAATATGTAAACAAATATGTCAGTCTCAGTCATTTCCGAGTTTTCCCATACGATACAAGACATTGTAGACATGCATAATTGTCCAACCGGGCAAACAAATAATGACATTCCCCTCAATTGTGGCTAATAATGTTCATTTGTATGTGTTTTGTTCCAGAAGGGCTGCTGTGGAAGCCAATCTGAGTGTAGATGTGATGCGAAGTGCAGTGAGAGTTATGTAAGGCAAAAATATCTTATTACTGATTAATGACGTAACATGTAAACATTTAACATCTTAACCACATGTCTGTGTAACTAAATTATGTACAATATTCATGTAATTATAAAATGTTCGCTGCTAAATAACAGAAACATGAAATACAATATTCCAAAAATGTCCACACGATTTTAAAACGAGAATTTATTTGATGTTTGAGAGGAATATCTCTTTGAAACGTAATTTCTATGTTTTGTTTTTGTCTAGATTTCAAGTTTAGTAACTGGCGAATTTGCACCCTATAACGGAACACAGGAGCCTATATTCCCTTCAGAACTTCAGGTAAAATTTAGACCATATGTGCCTTACATTTTAATTGTTCTTATTCAACTTTTAAACACTGAGTCGAAACTTGTGTGTATATCATTCCTATCAAATTGCTCAATATTTGTACATGTATCATTTAAGAATACACATTATTGATACAACTTATATAATTGAAGTAGTAATTGAAACACGGTAATATTATCATACTTTTATTTGTTAATGGGTAGTTAAATGATCACTACCATAGCAAAACCGTGTCCTTTGCTGGTAAATCCGTCGTTTGGATCCGACCTACAACGCTTTCGGAATTATTGAAGTACAAATCGGACATTCCAGATGCTATACTGGTTCTTGGAAATGCTGAAGTCGGTAAGAATGTATATATTTAATCATTAATATTTGGTGTTTAATTATAAATATTATCACTTAGGCTGTTGCGCAAGCCACCAATACGATCGATCTGTTTTGCTAGTGTTAATCAAACGCGATCGATTGCTTATTTTATTGATAGCAAGCCACCAATACGGTCAATTGGTTTTACTGTTAAGCAAGGCACAAATGTGATCGTTATGTTTTGCTATGGTTAAGCAAGCCACCAATACTATCGATTGGCTTTGCTATTGTTAAATAAGCTCAAATGCGATCGATTGGTTTTGCTATTGTTGAGCAAGCCATAAAGACGTTTGATTGTTTTTTTTCTTTTGTTAAGCAAGCCACAAATGCAATCGATTGTCTTTTCTATTGTTGAGCAAGCAACACATGCGATCGATTGTGTTTTCTGTTGTTGAGCAAGCCACAAATGCGATCGATTGTGTTTTCTATTGTTGAGCAAGCAACAGATACGATCGATTGTGTTTTCTATTGTTGAGCAAGCAACCGATACGATCGATTGTGTTTTCTATTGTTGAGCAAGCAACAAATACGATCGATTGTGTTTTCTATTGTTGAGCAAGCAACAAATACGATCGTTTCCATTAAGAAATCCACCAATATGATCGATTGGTTTTGCTATTTTTGTGTAAACAAACAATGCGATCGATTTGTTGTTGCTGAGCTAGCCACCAACACGATCGATTTCTTTTGTTAATGTTAAGCAAGGCACCAACGTGATTTGGTTTATTTGGTTATCAAGTCACCAATACGATCGATTCGTTCCACCAACGCAATTAGTTTGTTTTGCTATTGTTAAATAGCGTCAAATGCAATCAATTGGTTTTGCTATTGTTAAGCAAGCCACAATAGCAATCGATTTAATGTTGAGAAAGTTCGATCGACTTGTTTTACTATTATTGGGCAACCCACCAATCCGATCAATTTGTTTTGCCCCTGTGCAAATCAGTAGCGTTTGTCCTGTATTCAATATGGCAGTGTGCTCACAGGAGTGTGACTTTGTTATAATAAAGTAAAAGTGTAATCTTATGATTAAAACAGTTTAGTCAACCAGCCTTTTGCTGACACCTATTATGCCTGTAAACACCTGTAAATGTCATTAGTTTGCAAATAACAACGTATACAATGCTTTAAAATTTGATATTAACATCGTTTACTGTGCCTAAATATTTACATGTAAATTAACACTGTGCACATGCTAAGTACACACGTTATTTTATATACACGTCATTATATTACGACATACACGTGCCTTATGTTATCTACGCGCGTTCCAAAGTGTCAGGATTGGATTGTGATCCAGACATGAGAAAATTATTTGTTTATAGATTTATCACTTTCATTAAAAAAAATTCGATCTCTGCTTGAATGTGATTTATCATTGTATATGTTCGTCATATCTCACGTCTTGATTATCTATAACTATTAAGTCAATACCAATCTGTCGGTTAGGGTCGGTTAACACTAAGACCAGTTCTATATTGAGTAAATATACATATACAATTATTCCACAGGTTTTATGCCAAAACCAATCGGTGTCAAATGTACGCTGCTCTCAGTCTCGCATGTACAAGAGCTAAAACAAGTTGACTTGTCTGAATCTTCCATCACATTTGGTGCCTCAGTAACTATGTCGAGAATGATTGAGGTTCTGAGAGAACGAATAGCTAAATCGCCCGGTAAGTATTGAATGATATGATGTGCAGAGGCAACTACTGTAATCGCCAGTTCGTGATATGTAAATCAAGCTTGGATTTCATACACATAAATTGTCGCTGTTTATTAGGTTCCACAACTGTTGTGTACAAAGCATTACTGGATATGCTGTATATGGTTGGGGATCATCAACTAAGAAACGTTGCAGTGAGTAATGCTATTTATTGATGCTTTATGTGAAAAATTTTCACAAATCTTGTCTTGCATTCAATTAATTCAGACGTTTCAGCTTGACTACTCCTTTGGTGATCTTTACAATGTTTTTCATAGGGAATTGGTAGCCACATTATGACTGCGAGTCGATTATCTGACTTAAACCCATTGTTAATGGTGGCTGGAGTCACACTGAACATTGCCTCTCATAAAGGTAGGATTTTATCCAATAGCAAATTTGTGAGTTATATGTCATATACCTTCGATTTATTCGTCATACCGCGTTCTTACTATATATATTCCCCAGACGGACTGAATACATTGCCACTGAATAGTGATTTCTATACTGGATACAGAAGCACTGTTCTATCCTCTGATCAGGTACTAGTGAGTCTAAGCATTCCTTGCTCCAAAGAGGTAAGTCGTGATCAGTATTCCAATTTACCAAGACAATTCTATATGCCATTACTGGACGTTGTGATTCAGGGGTATTTATTATTCTATGTACTGCAAATCCTTGAATAGTGGTTTAAAAACTTGTTAAAAATGATAAACATCACGCTAAATATTTGCTGCAAACTTTTGTAAAAGGGTACCCAATTTAACATTTTGGTTGCTGTTAAAAGATTTCTTTTCAAATGTCGTTCCTTTATGTAGTACCTTGTTGTATCAAGTAAATAATTACAAGCAAACGAACATTCACATAACAACACATGTTTCGAATTACGTCATAGTGCTGCCACATTATTAACCAATAAGAAGACGTATTGTGTTCATTGTTCTTCATATTTGTAGAATGAGTATTGTGCTGGGTATAAAGTTAAGAAGTATGTCCATCGACGTGATAAAAACACTGATATAATCAGCAGTGGAATGAGGGTGCTTTTTGAAAGAAATACCGATAAAGTCAAGGAAATAAGTATATGCTTTAGTGGCATGGGACCCACCATTGTCATGGCAACTAGTGTATCCAAACATATTGTAGGAAGGCGAGTATTTCGGCAACATAATGTGTTGTGTTATAGCCAAGGTTTATATGACGCTTAATTCTCACACTTTATATAACTCTTTTTCATACCAGATTTGGGAGTATGGCATTTACAGGGTTCTAAGGCACTAAATGTGGCGATTACATGGTAATAAATGTGGTGTTTGCAGGATTCCAGGATACTAATTGTGGTGTTTACTGGGTGAAATTTACAGGATTTTAGGGTAATAAGTATGTTACAGGATTCCTGGGCAATAAGTGTAGTATGTACATGATTCCTAGGTAATAAGTGTGGCATTTACAGGAATTTAGGGTAATCAGTATGTTACTGGATTCCTAGGTAATAAGTGTGGCATTTACAGGAATTTAGGGTAATCAGTATATTACAGGATTCCTGGGCAATAAGTGTGGACAGAATTCCAAAGAATTGTATTGTATATCGAAATCTGTTTTGCTCATCAGGAAATGGAATGAAAGTCTGTTGACAGAAGTGATGCACTTATTAAGTGAACAATTTCCATTAGCATCACAACGTATGGCAGATTATAGGAAAGCTCTTTTGCAGAGCTTTTTCTTAAAGTTTTACATTAAAGTTAATGAACATTGTGGAGTAATGGTTAGTCCAATAGTTTGTTTTCTAAGATGTATATACAATGATTTTTGTTAATAGTTCATGGACATTGAACATCACTAAATAGTTTGCATTATTCATTTTTTTTCATGTGTCACTTTGATATTTGTTATTTATTTATTTATAAATTATTCTTAGAATATCGTCCAATTACCCGATTCACACCGTTCTGCAGTTACCACAACAGATAAAATTGCACTAAGAAGCACTCAGACATATCAGGTAAGAAACACTAGAAATAACGATCCAAACCATTGAACCTACGTACAGATGTTCCATGTTATATGTCGACGCCATATTTAAAAAAAACAAATGATTATAACGATGTTATAACACCACGATACAGATTTTCCGTTTTCGACATTGTGAAATTCTTTTGTTATTTGGGAGAAAAAAACCTGAAAAAACTGATTTTGACAAGATAATTCAGGAATATATTAAGAACGATTCATAATTTTTTTTTTATCTTTTATGCACCCATGAATAATTTTCATAATTACCGATTACAAAATAAAATTACAGGGATAATTTGCTATATTCTCTATATTTTTGTCTTTTATTTGTCTTGAATTATAACTGAAAGTTGAATGAAACAACTCATGTATGAACTAAAACTTTAATAAATATGATTTTACTTGGTAAAAATACTTTTTCTGTATAAAAACGAAAGAAATCGGAAAGTCTTTAACACAGTGTTTCATAAATGTTATGCTTTGTCTTAATTAATTTGCATACCACCATAAGTACAGTATAATATGATATCCAAACAGATAAGTTTACTCAGAATAATTATTTCAATGTCATTGATTGAGAGAAATATACCTTAATCGCAATGATGCAGAACATATGAGATCACGTGGCGCAAACTTTGATGGTTATTATTTCTTAGAAGTGGCTTAAATTACGAGTGTTTGCTCTTATTGTGTTTTAACTGTTATTTACAGCCTGTTCCCGATCATCAACGAAATTCAGATCTTGTTGGACGACCTACTATGAATGAATCAAGTTCTGCGCTAGTTACCGGGGAAGCAGTGTTTCTGGACGACATGCCTTGTCAGGAAGGTAATGGCAACTTGATGGGAATGAAACACGTGGCCTTAAATATTGCCCCATTTAACCCTTTCAACGTCACAATATGGCAATGACATAAGTACTTGCCATACATCTTTGAGGCAACATCTGTTGTAACTCGGTCAATATCACTAATGATAAAATAACGAAGAAGTGAAGTGTTAACTACTTACCAATATTTTATTAAAGAAATATTATATTAGAGCCACTTATCTAAACCCAGTGGATACAGCTATATTGGTCAAGTAGATACCAGAACATAAATCATGAAATCGAGATTTCGGTGCAACATTAAACATTTGAATGGATATATCACATCAAGATGCAATGTTGCGTCGAGTGACCAGAACATATTTTATGCACTCAATGATATTATATGTAATACTGGAATTCCCAGAATCTAGAAAATCTTGTATATCAATGGATATGTAATATATGGCGGATGCCACATGTGGAGCAAAATGTCCTAATTTTTTGTCGAAACACCTGACATCATGAAGTCATTGGCTGTATGGTGTAGTGTACTTGTGGATTGTTTTGTCAATTGTTAGACTTGTAAATTCCCTTATTAACGGCTTTTGTTTGAGGTCTAAGATTATGTATGTTATTTTGACTTTGATATCACACAACAATCAGTACAATGCTAACACAGTCTAAATTGCCATTGATAATACATTTTTGCTCAATTTGGCTGTCAAATGTATATACGAAGTCATTGTTGCAATAAAGGTCATTCTGTAAGCATCAATTTCCTTTGCTAGAGGAAGCACTTTCAATGAACATGTATTTGTATTGTTCTCTTGCACTGTTACAGTAGCAGAAAACGTTAAAAGTGTAAAAAAAAAGTTCACATTTAAATATTACAGAAATTATCACTCTAATGATCTAACTCAATAAAACAAGTTTAAACATTTACATCGGCGACATGTCAAACACATAGTACAATCATTAATTCAAATTACACTGTGAGCCATTGCGAGACCATGAGAGCTCAATATTTGTTTTCTTTTTGGTCTATGAGTAAAACCTTTGAAGGCCCTATTTTAAAAATACGAGAATATATGCATAATCTGCCAGGACCGAAACAAAATGTATGTATACATGAAATTCAGTCGTCCATGACATTCGACCAAATATTCCTACCAAGGCTAATTAACGCTGTTATTGAATATTTCATAAAGCAGTGTATATTGACTATATGATTATT